ACTATGTATTGAATTCATATTAATATTGAAACGCAGAGAACAAAAGCAAATTAAGAAAAATAGACACATGTTCGTTTCCAGGATAATACATGCCGCAGATCAGCAGAACAAAGAGTACACATGGGGATTTTTTTTTTCTGGTTAGATGAGAGTCCTGCTTAGTTGAATACCAGATAACAGAGAGTTTACAAGAGAGAGAGAGAGAGTACGAGAGAGAGGGAGAGTACGAGAGAGAGGGAGAGTACGAGAGAGGGAGAGTACGAGAGAGGGAGAGAGAGTACGAGAGAGTACGAGAGAGAGGGAGAGAGAGTATGAGAGAGGGAGAGAGAGAGAGTACGAGAGAGGGAGAGAGAGTACGAGAGAGAGGGAGAGAGAGTATGAGAGAGGGAGAGAGAGAGAGTACGAGAGAGGGAGAGTACGAGAGAGAGGTAGAGAGGAACGAGAGAGAGGGAGAGAGAGTATGAGAGAGGGAGAGAGAGAGAGTACGAGAGAGCGAGAGTACGAGAGAGAGGGAGAGTACGAGAGAGAGGGAGAGTACGAGAGAGGGAGAGTACGAGAGAGAGGGAGAGTACGAGAGAGGGAGAGTACGAGAGAGAGGGAGAGTACGAGAGAGAGGGAGAGTACGAGAGAGAGAGAGAGTACAAGAGAGTACGAGAGAGCGTGAGAGAGATACATGTGTGTGTATTTTATTATTTCTTACTATTCTATCTGACAAACTAAATACAATAAAAAAAATGAATTAATATTTTCTGTAAAATGCAAAAGTGCTTATTTTTGCCTAGAGTAAAAAAAAATTAAGCTATACTCACCCAATCCTCCGAGCTGGCCAGCTGCCCTACAACCTGTCTCCTCCTCCACTGCAGCAAGGGTATGTCCCTCAGCATCCTTACATCCTATACACAGTGTATAGAACGTGATGACTCAGGGACGTTAGACCGCTACAGTGAAGGGGGAGAGCAAGCCACCTCAGGGGACCAGGTGAGTATAACTTTTTTTATTTTTCACCTTTACAATTACAAGCACTTAAAGTGACATTAAACCCTCAGATTTTTTAACATAAACCAATACTGTAATGTGTGCCTTACTGTAATCCATGGTTGTTTCCCTTCTCTTTGCTGCTCTTCCTTTTAAATCTGTATCTCTTCTCATGCTGGGACAGAACTTCTGTTTTGCAGCAGACTGCCTTGTCTCTGGAATGGCTACATGGTGTCTGTGTGTACGTTAGCAACCTGAGCCAGCATTACAGGAAAAGGCCCTGAGCTGAAAAGGGAAGTTCTCCCCAAGCATGAGAAGACATGAGGATTTAAAAGGAAGAGCAGCAAAGAGAAGGGAAACTACCATGGATTACAGTAAGGCACACATTACAGTATTGGTTTATGTTAAAAAATCTGAGGGTTTAATGTCACTTTAACCTTTGCAGTGCCGGGTAGCCATACTACAAGGGTTAATACCATTTTTACCCAGAGTTCTGCTAAACATCAGGCATCTGCCTCATATAACAGTACAAGTCACCTGAGAAAAAAAGTTTTCCCTAGTGAAATCTCATGAGATCTTGTTCTGTACAGTTCTCCCTGGAAGGCACTGATGACGTAGCCTTCTGTGAGGCACTGGCTATGTCACCAGTGCCTTACTAGACCAGACAAATGGGATTCAATTTTATGTAACGGTATAATTATTCTATTTAGAAAATGACTTGCTGATGTTTGGAAGGTACATGCAGAGGTGCACCCACTGGGTATTTTTAGTGTGTGTGGGGGCAGGAGAGCTGCTTTAATGCTTCTGGATGATCAACCTGTTAACTGTATAGAGGTGATAATATCCACAGAGAAATAGACTGTTATCATTTTTTGAAGGAGTTTGACAATGGCAATCTCCATATTTATCATAGGACAGCTTTCCTTTTAAAAAGTCCACCCAAAAGCAATATTTTAGTCATACATGAAGCCTAGTGATCTGAGTCAGCCTCTGGTGGCTTATAAGTCCTGGTTGCTCAAACAAGAGATATCCCAGCGATAATTCTTATTGTGCTCCAATTCCCATGGAAGTTTTGGGTGTTTTCTACCTTTATGTGTTCTAAAGTAATATAAAATTAATAGGAAAAAAAAACAACAGGGAGAGTGGGAGCCCCTTATAATGGGTACACTATGTGCGCAGGCCCAAGCACAGGTATCCCACCAAATAAGCCCATGAGAGAAAAAAGAAACTGTCAAGTGTTTCACTTCACCATGAGCTACCAAAAACCGAAATATCAGTTTTTGGGAGGAACGACCCATCTAAATTGAGGGCTTTACTTGGCCACTACATTCTGCATATGATCAGAGCCCTTTGTACTGCTTTACTGAATGAGCCCACCGTATACATTTCTTGGTTTGAAGATTGTTTTGCGGCCTGTCTTTCATGAAGTCATTCAAAGGCAACAGGGTTGTCCAAACACCATTCACAATACGCGTTCATGTTATAAAGAACAAGCAGATGAAATAAGGGTGGGACAAAGTTCCCTCTATTTACCTGCCAGGCTGCCTCACTCAGCAGGATGTTCAAAAATGCTCAAGCTGCTTCAGCAGATTCCCAGCCCACAGCAAAACAAACATGTTTGTTTTACATCAAAGCGGCCTGAGCAGTTTAGAACCAGCTATAGAATTTAAACACTGATAAAGGAATAATACCAAATACACAACAGATTCACAAAAAAAAAGTATCTGAAGTTGGCGTTGGCGATAACTGCATTTAACGTGTCTCCTTTTTCTTCCCCATACATGAAAAGCAAACACATTTTGCAGATAATACTCACAACATAATTTCCTGTGTTTTATCTTTCTAGTGCAGATTGACAAAGGAAGGAAGAAAAACACAGGTACAAAGATCCCGAACATCTTCCCATCCAAATAAATTAACATACATGATTTAACGGGGAGATAAGAACAGCGATTTATGCATTTACATAATTGTAACATAATTGTTTTAGCAGCTGGAAGAAGGAAGAAGAAAGCCAGCGAAACAACAAAGTCTAAGAAATAAACCTCACAGGATGACTTCTTTCTTATCATTAATTTTTTTGTTCTTGGACAGTTTTAACAACTAGTGCCACATATCTGTTGTGACACTTGACATACTTTTCTGTTAATGTCACTGATTAAGATATGCTATCATCAACACAGGAGGACTTTGGGCCAGTGATTAAAGACCCTTTGAAATTTCACACCTTTTATCCTCTTAATAGTCCTGTAACTCCCATGGTTTGTGACTGAATTTTGCTTGGAAATGCCTTAAAGGAAAAGATCATGAATTTGTAGATAACCCCCCCAATTTACCACCCTAGATCACTCAAAACTGTAAACAATGAAACCCTCCAAATAGGTCCTTACATACTACCTCCAATGGCTATGGCCTACCATGCTGTCTGCAGACCAGCTAGTAATAATTTAGTGTCAGGCCGTCTGCGCATGTCCTATAGACTTGAATGGGACGTTGCTTCTGCAGTATGGGTATGTCCCATTTAGGGCTATCAGATGTTACTGTGCAGGCAACCCGACACTAGATTTTTACTGGCCGTGCTGCACACAGAATGGGAGGCCACAGCCATTGGTTAAAGCAAGAACCTGCTGGGGTACGGGGGTATGTTACAGTTTACTATATAGAGGGGCTTGGGTAGGATTTATACAAATTTGTGAACATTTCCTTTAAGTTTCTTGTTTAAATACTGCTTCCTTTCTAGTAATCTATGTTGGCATAGCTGTATACCAGCCACACCCCTCAAACAGACTTGTTTGGCAGAGGAAGAGAGGGTTTGTGTCAGACCCGATCTGGTACTGAGTGTTGATTACAGAGAGCACTGGGTCTAACACTAGTGCCTAGTGGACAGCATGGACTGCACAGTCCACCAGCTGCAATGAAGAAGTAAAGGTAAGACTGAAAATGATAGGTTGTTTATTTCTGTGACTTCCAATGGCTTCAGTACTTTCTAAGTCACTGACTCCGATAGCGGAGGGGCTGGCATTGCTCCTGAACCAAGCAGCACTCACATAATGGTGTGCAAGTGTCACTAAGTCCTGGAAAATTGTGTGCCTATCCTATCCCACCTTCCTCCCCAGGTTATGTGTTTAAAGGACTTATGTGTTCACAGGAAATGGGCAGAATGATTTGACTATCAGTCTACCTGAAGAAGACCGATAGCACTGGAAAAAGGAGGAGGCCGGGGACTGCTCTGGAGCATGCAGAAGGTGAGTAGAACTTTTATTTTAGCGCCAATTAGTTCTCAAGAATATTATAGAAACTGGAAGAGACTTGCTGCATAACCCCGTACTGTCAGTTTGTAGGTGTAGGTCCCAGCCCTCAGGACCAAAGAATTCAGGGGTGTGAAGGAGCTGTGGCCTCTGTTATAATACAGGAATAAAACTAAACACGTAAATATTGTGATTTCATTAACGTTAATCTCCAGACAAATATTAACAAAAATACATTTTAGTCCAATTATGCATTCAATTAAACATCATTAAATGTATTTTACATACAAGTACCAAAGGTACCGGAATCTGTTTTGATGTTTGCCTCCTGTAATCTTCGGTACAGCAGTGCTCACACCAGAAAAGGGCAGAGCAGAACTCTGAGCCAATCAGAGTTCCATTGTTCTGCACCTAAACAATATTACAAAGCCTTTGGCCAGTAAGACCCTTCACACACATGGTTTTCAACTGTAAATGTAGCTGTTTGCCTGGAGTTCAGCTTTAGGAAAACTATTGCAACTATTTAAAGGGTGATTTACAAAACTGCTGGGATTTCTGTAAACCTTTATTATTATTTTTTTTATATTTGCTTTATCCCAACTGAGTCTTTGAAGTAAACATATGTTCACAAGACTGGTTAACCTAATTCTTAAGTGAATCAAACTGTTTCCCAGTAACATAACATATTGGCAATCACATGTCAAAATCCAGAAATGTATGATAGGTAATGCATCATTCAACCTAGTTATGAATATAAAAATAAATAAGTGTAATTACCTTTTTCTTCATGTATGGTAAAGACTCCAACTCCAGAGCCATCTCTTATTGAATATCGAATCTCTCCATCTCTTCCTGAATCTTCATCATGGGCCAACACAGTCATCACAGGTGTCCCGATAGGGACATCCTCTCTTATCACTGCTTTGCCAACAAAGTTTGAAAACAAGGGAGTATGTAGGTTTTCATTCACATCAATAATTTCAATAATTATGTAGCATGTGGATGACAAGGAATTGGGCTTTCCCCTGTCTTTTGCCCGCGCAGTTAGATTATAAACCTGCCTTTCTTCATAATCTAAATCTTGTACCATCCGCACGGCACCACTTAGTTTGTCTACTTCAAATTTGCCATCACCATTTTCTAGAAGACTATATCGAACTTGGCCAGAAAGTCCCATGTCAGGGTCATAAGCTTCAATCCATGTAACTAGAGTTCCAATGGGAAGATCTTCTCGGATTTTAACATGATAGTTAGCTGGAATAAAGGTTGGAGGGTGGTCATTGACATCTTCCACTAATATTTTTAGAAACACGGTTGAAAACAATTGAGGTTCATGTTCTGCTTGGTCTCTGGCTTCTATTTTGAGCACATGTGTGTCTTGTTTCTCCCTGTCTAGTGGTTCAAGGGCCTTCACTATGCCGGTCACACTGTCGATAGTAAAGAGGTTTGTGTCTGTAAGAATAGAATATCTCACATCGCTGTTGGCTCCCAAATCTTTGTCTAAAGCTTCTATTTTAATAATGGCTTGGTTCCCTTCCTCATTCTCCTTCACTTCAACAGAGTAGCTATCTTGAAGAAACTCTGGAGGGTTGTCATTAGCATCAAGAATTCCAATGTCCAAAAGATGCCAAGCTGATTTTTGTGGTATCCCAAGGTCATAAGCTGTAATATTCAATGTGTACTGATTTTTCTGTTCTCTATCAAGTGGTGAAAGAATCTGTAACCAACCATTTTCCATGTCTATAGTAAAGCAGCTATCATTGTTACCTCCTGAAATAGCGTATACCAGCTTGCCGTTAAAACCAGAGTCAAGGTCATCAGCTTCCATACGGATTACACCCGATCCCACAGCCGCATTCTCTTTGATTACAATTCTGCTAGGAAGTGTGCTTACAAACTGAGGCGCATGTGAATTTGTCAAGTGGCTGTCAAAATAAGTTTCCTCTAGTGATCCACGATTAAATAACTTATTGGCTTGAAGAAGTTTCTCAGCAAGTATTTTGGCAACTCCAGTTTCTTCACACTGCAAGTGAACAGCCTTACGGCTGGAAGTCACAGTAATATTAATATAGATTGATTTGGCTACGTTTTCTCCATCCGTAGCAGTTATTTTCAAACTGTAAAAGGAAACTTTAGCTCCAGGGCCTTCGGTAAGCGGCTGTTTTAAGGAAAGGACTCCTGAATTAGGATTCAGTGTAAACAAATCAAACTCATTCCCAGATTCTATTTTGTATTTTACCAGCTGGAGTTCATCGGCATCAATAGCAGAAACAGTAGTTATATGTTCCCCAACGCCAAGATCCTTGGGTACAGAACCTTCGCAATTTATTTTCTCAAACATTGGTATGTTGTCATTTAAATTATTTAAAGTCACTGTGACAGGAGTTTCGACCTCTCTGCGGTAAGGTAATCCCCAGTCAGATGCCCTTATTTTTAAGTTATAGACTCTTGGCATCAGCTCATAATCCAATTCTTCTGCAGTACTAACCACACCAGAGAAAGCATCAATGACAAAGGGTACTGGATTAAGATTAGCAATGCTGTATGTGATATAACCATTTTCCCCTTCATCAGGGTCAATAGCAGTGGCGGTAAGCACAGGGCTACCTAATGGGACATTCTCATCCACTAGAGCTTTATAAGAGGTTTGGGTGAACTCAGGTGGGTTGCTGTTTGTGCTAAGGACTTTTATCATTACTTTTGTGTATGCTTTTTTGTCACTGGTCATAACATTCAGTTCAATGTGTGAGGAATGTTTTGCCCTTATGGGCAGCAAAGTTGTTATGAGGCCAGTGTTTGGGTTTAAATTGAATTTACTTCTATCTGAAGCATATTTAAAAACATACTGTAAATGTGGGTGACTTGGCATAGCTTTAACCATAACAATGGGTGTATTGGGGGGTGCAAACTCACTCGCTTCTGCCTTGTAAACATCTTTTTCAAACTTTAGTGGCCCATGTTTATATTTTGAAGATGTTACGTGGATGACCTTGGGAGGAGAAAACTGCGGTGGAGAGCCCTTGTCCTTAGCTTGCAGAGTCAAGTTAAATCCATATGCATGTGTATCCCAATCAATCTCCATAAGAGCTACAATCCTATATTCTTTGCTTCCAGGGGAAGTTCTGTTGGTTCTAAAATACATAAAGGGATCGCCTGCAATAATGCTTAGGGATGCAATTTCTCCATTGGGCCCTTGGTCATAGTCATCAACAGATAAAATCGCATATGTTAGATCTTTATCATGTTCAGAGGGAGTGAGTGTAACAGCAGAGATAATAGGGGCATGTTCATTGGCTTGTTCCACATGAATGTTCAGCCTGGCCATACTACTAATGCCGCTACTTCCATATAACTTCATTCCTCTGTCAACTGCGAGGATTTCCATATTGTACTGCTTGGTATCAGAGTAGTCAAGTCTTCCAGTTAGTATAATAGCACCGCTAGTAGGATGAATAGCAAACATGTCAGTCCTTTCTTTAAAGCTATAGTAGAATTCCCCATTGGTACCAATGTCGGCATCTGTTGCACTGACTTTCGCAATGCTGGTCCTTATTGCTGTGTTTTCAAGCAGAGAAACGCTGTACAAGGTGGGTGAAAACAATGGTCTCAAATCATTTGTGTCCAGCACTTGAACCCTAACTTTTGTGCGTGCTTCATTATTGGAGTTCTTCTCCACAGCTTTGACAGAAAGAAGGTAGTGGTCTCTGACCTCCCTGTTGAGGATTGCTGTGTTACCTCCCTTGGTTCGTATCCTCAGGAAGCAAAAGTCCCCCAAAATGTGCTCTTCAGCTTTAAAAAGGTTTTCATTGTCCCCAGAGACTATTTTGTACTTAATGTCCCAAGAAGGGTTTTTAAGATAAACACCCATTTTTGTCGGGTGGCCCACATAAGTCTTTGCAGCAGAATTCTCGTAGATAGTGGCGTTGTACTGGTGCTGTGTAAACTGAAATGATGCAGGAGAATGCAGTCCATGGCTTTTGTCACAGTCCCCAAAATGTTGCAGTAACATCAGTAAGAGCAGTGTGGTCAAGTATTTCCCCATGATGGATGATGTACACATTGTCACCTGCAATTAAAAAAGAAATTCTTTTAATTAAAATACACAAGCATTGAAATAAAATGTTTTATAATAATAATAATAATAAATATAATACATTTCAACTCATCATCAATTGTTTAGAGTCCCACAAAAATGATTTTTGGTCCAAATGTTGCTCCATTTTTCAAAACCTATCCTAACAATGTTCGATGCTACACCTTACATTGTAAAGGGCTGTGCAAACGGTTGGCACTATAAATCCTGCATAATAATAATAGTTCATTGCAATTCCCTCTCACAATGCCAATACTGTAAAAACCCTTGCTTTAGTTGATGTAAACAAATATTATAAAAAAGGTATAGTTAATGCATGTATAAGCTTTAGGGCATAAATAAATTCACTGTTATTCACATGGTTGTGCGCATTTAGGATGGCATTGTTGATTTATTAAGAAAAAGTAATAAACATTTAAAATGTAGTGCCTCTTTAAAATGCAATGAATCAAGCTGGCTTCCACAAAGAATTGTGAGAGTTCAAAACATTTGTTTTAGGAGTACTTCTAATTTTCTGTGTATAATTAGGCAAAATAAATGTCTAGGGGAGATTTACAGCAAGCTAAGTAGTTTATCAGAAATTAATTTCAGTAGTGGAGTGAGATTATACCTGAACCCCAGGCACTCCACTAGGGGGCACAGCAGAAATTGGCTAATATCATTAGTACAATCAAATGGGTATACCACTCGGTGCCATGAAGCAAATCAACCAATGTCATCAAAAGCCAATTTAATGCTGGCTTCTAATTGGCATTAATTAAATTACTGTGGACTCTAACTGTGCTCCTGAAATTCACTCTATTAAATGCTTATGTGCAGTACTCTATACAAGCTGGCATTAGGCACCTATGTAAAAATCAATGCAGGTGAGTGCATATACCCTCACACTGTACAAGACATACCGTGTAAAATAAAAGTACAAGTACTAAAACAGAACTAACTGCAGGAATAAAAAACAAGGTATTTGAAAATCTAAAAAAAACATTCATAGTCTTCTGAAATCTTATACAAAACAATAGTGCTGGCAATGAGCAAATTCATGTAGTACGCTAAAAAATGATGATACACTCATATTTAACACTGTGGGTCCTAGTTTTAATTGTGAATTCTATCAAATGTATGTTCTGCAAGGAGAACATTAGCCAGTTTAGGCGGACCTAATTATCATCATCAAAAACAATAGATGTCAAAGCCTCAGCAGCCTATCTAGCAGCATGGTCGATGTCACATGGGAGATGGGGGAGGAGGACGTATGGCTGAGCTCTGACTTGTCTGTATTTAGATAGGAAGTTCAGGGGTGGTCTGGTCAGTAAAACATGTACTGCCTTTTCTGCTGTCAAAGAGTTGGATTATACTGTTGCTTTATTAGGAGTGCAAAAAGCATCAGTGGCTCAAAAGTGCTGACATTTTTTCATGGGTTACTCCAAACCGAAATTCTTTGAACAAAACATACAATAAGCCAAAGAGTCGTTCTTCGATATTTGAAGTATGTCATGCTGCCCCGTCTTTTTTTCCCAGACTTCTACATGTTATTTATTCAAACAAGGAATTCAGCACCCAGTTGACAGATAGCAGACACTCCTAAAGACTTAGTGTGCCTGAGTTTTAACTGACAAAAGTTTGATGCATTTGTTTTCAGCACAAGAAGACCAACACTGCAAGTTTTCAACACAGTGTTCAAATACTGCTTTACCCTCTTGCCCACTCGCACTAACCTTCCCTGTAACCTTTACACTAACTCTCCCAGTGACTCCAACAATAATCCTAACCTTCCCCATAACTCAACACTAACCCTCCCTGTAACCTTCACACTATCGCTCCCAGTGACTCCAACAATAACCCTAATTAACCCTAACCTTCCACATAACCCTAACACTAACCCTCCCTGTAGCCTTCACACTAACTCTCCCATTGACTCCAACAATAACCCTAACCTTCCCCATAACCCCAACACTAACCCTCCCTGTAACCTTCACACTATCTCCCCCAGTGATTACAACAATAACCCTAACCTTCCCTGTAATCCTAACACTAACCCTCCCTGTAACCTTCACACTAACTCTCCCAGTGACTCCTAACCTTTCCCATAACCCTAAGGCCTGGTTCACATCTAGGCGACAGCGTTTATGCGCATACGGCAAAAAGTGTATTTTTGCGAGCAGATTGTAGCTCATTGATTGATTTAGAAGCAAATGACAGCAATGCTAAGATTACACATTGCCTGTTCACTGCATGCAGAGCTGTCACGAAGAAGAACACATTTCTGCCCTGTCTTCACATTTCATTTAATAGATATTGAGGAAGTAGAACTCTATGAAAATTCCTCAGATTTCAAGCACCTCAGCACCTGTGGGCAATGTTTGATATCAAGCTAGCGCATAAAACGGGCATAAAAATGTGCAAAATACAGCAAACGGGCGTTTTCAAGCGTTACCTATTAACTCTATGGGGCCAAAATTAGCTGGAATATACCAAAAAAAGCTAATTTACTTTTTCCAGCTACAGGTGTTTGGCTCAGATGTGAACAGGGCCATAGAAATAAATTGGATTTTTTTGTGGGCAGTTTTTTTTAGCGTTTTTTAGGGAGGAAAAAGCGCTACAAAACGCTCAGTGTGAACCAGGCCTAACACTAACTCTCCCTGTATCCTTCACACTAACTCTACTAGTGACTCCAACAACAACCCTAACCTTTCCTTTAGGGATGTCCCGATACCGATGCTAGTAGCGGTATCGGGGCCGATACAGGGCATTTTCAGGAGTACTTGTACTCCTGAAAATGCCCCGATGCATAGATCAGATACCGGCCCTTTAAAAAATTTTTAACTAGCTTCGGCCATTGGCCCGCATAGCCCCTCCCCCGGAATACCTCTCCACCAAATGCACCACCTCTCCGCTCTGACCTCTCCGGACGGAAGTGTGACAGCATGGCGGGCTGTAAGTGTTATGTGTGGACAGTCTCTTCTCCCTGCTGGTGCTGGCTGCAGAGTTCTGTGTCCCTTTCACAGACCTCTGTAGCCAGCACGAGAAGAGACTCCGGCTGTGAGTTCCCCCGCTGCCCCCTCCCCCTGTACATTAGCTGCTGCTCCTCCGTGTCCCCCCCTTTTCAACTTGGTAAAACTGTTTGCTTTTGGTAATATATCACAAAGTGTGAGATGACCGTGCTCCTTATGTGTAATGCAGTCACCCGACCTACACAGCAGTTTTCACTCTCATTGAAAGAAAAGAATGTCCGTTCAGTGTGCTCACGGGGGAGGATAGGAGAGAAGCTGTAAATCTTCCCTTTACACAGAATGGACCTTCTCTTCTTTTATTGAGAGGGAAAACTTCTGTGTACGTCTGGTGAGGGCATTATTATTAAACACATAAGGAGCAGCTTTTGATTACACTTCATTTCCAGTTCCACCCATAAGTGCAGATTTTATAAATTTATCGCATAAGGAGCACCAACATCTGTCACTGAGATACACCACCAAAAGCAAACAGTTTAATCAAGTGGAAAAGGAATTGACACTTGTAACAATAGCCAGCCTGCTATTGGATATTTTAAATTGCAATAGCCAAAAGCAGGCTGGCTATTGTACCCGCCCATTGCCTGCTGTCAATCAGCAGGGAGGACCTGATTGAGAACTGTGTCTTCAGTTCCTTCCTTTGCTGATTGACAGCAGGCAGTGGGCGGGTACAATAGCCAGCCTGCAATTGGCTATTGCAATTTAAAATATCCAATAGCAGGCTGGCTATTGCTCCCAGCCAATGCTTTAGGGAATCCAGTGAAGTAGAAAGGTGACACTAGAGGTCTAAAAGACCCCTAATGTCATCTTGAAGAGAACCTGTCGCCTCCAATGCACGCAGCCCTGGTGAGAAACTGCCCTAAAATCATTAGTCTGTATTGTTTTAGAAAAAATGTCACATGTCCCTTTAAGAAAAAGTATCGGTAATTGGTATCGGCAAGTACAGGAGGGACAGTACTTGTACTTGGTCTTGAAAAAGTGGTATCGGGACATCCCTACTTCCCTTCCAAGTTCAGTTGCCTTGACTTATTTTTTTACAGACATAACCTTCCCTGTAACCCTAAAACTAACCCTCCCTGCTACCCTAACACTAACATGTAAAAACATTTACTTTATGTTTATATATTTGACTATCCAGTGCCGGGATCTCCTGCACTGAGGACAAACCTTTATTCCAACAAAACATAGCAGCACCCCCTGGCACCGTAATCTACTGCTTTACCCAAAGTGGTGGGGGTGTACTCACATTAGGTGTTATAACCATGCCCAGGCACATTTCCCTTAGTCTGGTTCATTTGTGTAAGTGCTTTGAAGTCTGAACCATGCCCGGCACTACTTGGAAGAGGCGGTTTGGGGCATGGTACACTTGGACTACTGTACAGTGTGCTTTAGTGTGAGTGCAAACTATGCCCGCATATTGATCTCAATAATCATGGGGCTTGGACTGAGGGATCACTGTGGTCTGGATGGCAGGGGAGATGATCCCCATGCCCAGTAACACTTCTTTATAGCACAGTGCTAGTGCAGACCAGCAGGGGAGTGGGTAGGGGGGGCAACTGTACTCACACAGTTTGGTTCAACCATGCCCACTGTGAGTATACCCTTAGTTGCCAGCATTAATAGTTTACAGGTACAGTTATCCTAGATCCATGCTGGGGTGTCTGCTAGATTCTTAAATCCGGCTTTGAATAATTATTGCCACTAAAACTAGTATTTCTTTACACGACACTTGATGACAGCAGCAGACTTTTATCAATTCTAAGTTTTGCCAATTTAGAAGCAAATGACAGCAATGCTAAGATTACACATTGCCTGTTCACTGCATGCAGAGCTGTCACGAAGAAGAACACATTTCTGCCCTGTCTTCACATTTCATTTAATAGATATTGAGGAAGGAGAACTCTATGAAAATTCCTCAGGATTTCAAGCACCGCAGCACCTGTGGGC